TCCGGCCTAATACCTTCCGCGGATACTTCATAACCCAAGTATAAGATCTTAGTGCATCCAAACTCACATTTCTCTAGGTTGACCTTATACTTGTGTTGTCGCAGGAGTGAAAGTACAGTCTCAACGTGTTGTGCATGCTCCTCGATAGACGTACTAAAGATAAGAATATCGTCGAGATAGACAACAACAGACTGATCTAAGTGGTCATGGAAGATCCTATTCATAGCATGCTGGAATATACCCGGCGCATTGCAAAGGCCAAAGGGCATCACTACAAACTCATACAGACCGTATCTTGTCTGAAAAGCAGTCTTGTGTTGATCCTCAGGTCTTATTGCGATCTGATGGTAGCCAGATTTTAAGTCTATCTTGCTATAGTACTTACATCCCTGCACCCTATCCAATAGGTCGTCTATGCGGGGTAGAGGCTCTGCGTTTTTCACTGTGATGGCATTGAGGCCTCTATAATCAATGCACATCCTCAAGGTGCCCCCCTTCTTTGGTACAAATAGCACTAGAGATCCGTAGGGGGAAGTTCTCGGTCGGATCCATCCCTTCTCTGTCAGCTCTTTCAATTGTCGTCGAAGTTCATCCAACTCAGCCGGAGCCATCATATAGATCCTTCCCTTTGGGGTTTTACTCCCTGGAATGATTTCTATGGCGTGGACAACTTCCCTATCAACGACTCCTGTGGGCTCCGTGAACAGATCAGGGAACTTAGCAACGACGTGTTCTATCTCTGGGGGTGTTTTAACGGCTGCCCCTTTCTCAGAGACATACACTAGGTACATACCCTCCTCTTGGTTCTGTTTATAGTAATTATAGAACGCTGATGCACACAAGTATCAATTATACTACTGGCTTTAAACTTAGTCAGCCTCACTGTTCTTCCATCAGGCAACTTATGTTTTAGCACCTTCTTGTCCCAGTCAAACTGGGGCTTGGCAACCTCAAGGTAGTACATTCCTAACAACATATCAAACGGTAAGTCGTCGCTAACCTGGAACGAAATCTTGTGATTAAGTTCCCCTCTCCATAGGAGAAGGAGCAGACTACATCCTTGATATAGTCTGTGACAATCATGCGCTCCTTATTGGCCAAAGTAGATACTACAGGTCTACTAAGGTGTTGTACCCGGTCCTATAGGCGCAACCTTTCCAAACAGTCGCGCGTATTCCGCGTGGAGCCGATGTCTACGAAGGCACCACATTTGCGGCCTCCTACATCAACTTCCACGACGATATGTTCCCCTCTAGGACCTCTTCTTAGTGCCACCCAAGATTCACGAGGGTCCTTACTTGACCACTCACTTTCTAAATCTTCTCAGGCTTCAGACACATCCAACGTACAGAGCATGGTTTGGTCTGGAGGAGTCTGCAGGGTGACTAAAGAGTCATTAGCTATGGCCTGCTCATGAAGTGGGGAGGGTATCTGGCCCACTTCACCATGAGTAGAAGCAGCTAGAACTTCCACCGGCCACACGTGTTTCCCGAGTTAGAAGCCTGGGAAGAAGGTGCCCCCATCTTAGGAGGTATCTTCTGCGTGACCTTTGCGTTCTTGCACTTATACTGGGTGGGTCCGTATTCACCACAGTTAATGCAAGCGCCACGCACTCGGCGGTCCCGCCACACTTCTTGATCGAGACCTGCCTTGACCCAATCTGCTACTTTGGCTTGATTGGAGGCGGCCTGCCCTTGACTCTTTTGATGGCCCTTCCCTCGGCCACCAGCCGTAGCCTTAACTACTGCGGCGAGGGTGCTACCCTCATCGATTTCCTCGCCGTCGTACTTTGAACAGTCCAACAGGTCTGTGAGCTCTTCGATCTCAGTTTGAGTCCCATCGGACTCAACCATCATCAGTTTGCTTGCTCCCCTTCTTCTTCCATTCCTGTGGACCCTTCTTCTTCCTCGTGTCTACTTGAGTAGGCTGAGAACTTCCTAGAGTAGCCTCTAAGTCTAAGGCTTTTCTAGATAAGGTCTCAAATGAATGATACTCGAGGCGAGCCTTGCTGGCCAGTAAGTTCCTGAGATTCTTTGGGAAACATCTCACAAACAAGGTCAATAAGACCTGGTCATCGTAGTGTATGCCGGGAACAACGATGAGGCTCTCTACGATAGTTGTTAGCTCTCTGACTGACTTGAGCTTTCGTTGGTCTAGTCTATGCATCGCATCAGTGGCAATTTGTGCCTGCTGTGGATTGTGCCAATGAGCTTCTACCATTTCTAAGAACTGTTCTAATGTAAGGGTCTTAGCCCAGTCTGCCATTCGTCGTCCGCACCCGGCCTTTGCTACTAATCCATCTAGCCATTTGGCTGCCTTACCCTCAAGGTAAGATGCAGCAGTAATCACCTCCTCCTCCTGTAAAGTCCTTTTTGCCCTTACCCACACTGGAACTGTTCTCAACCATGTGTTGAGATCCTCATCCTTCTTCTCTCCGGAGAAGGCGAGGGGCGGTTTCATAGGGGTCTTTGGGTACCATTGACCTTGCTGTTGTCCCTGTTGAGGAACAGGTTGTTGCGGTGATGGTGTAGTTACCACCGCTGACCCAGAAGAAGAAGAAGCAACAGTCTGTGCGGCTGCTGCAGACGTACCACTTGGCTATGTACCAACTTGTACCAGAAAGGGGGCTGACATCACCCTCAACGGCAATGGCGACTGTGCTGCTGGCCGGAATCCTGGCCTTTGCAAAAGGTCCAAGATCTGGTCCAAAAAGTTCTGCGTGAAATCGAGTTTGCTGTCCACATGCGCATGCAGCGACAACATACTGTTCTTCAATATTTTCATTTGGTCATACATTGCTGACTATTCCAAACCCTCTAATGCAGCTTTGTCTGCCTCTAACGTATCAAGCCTGGCTGTTCTATTTTTGATCTCCTTTTCTCTATCGGTTGCTTGTTTCAGCTCCCTCTCTAACCGCTCGTGGATCCTTTCGACTTGTTGGAGCTCTAGGAGCTCCCTACCGCGTGGGGTCAACGGGCTTAACTGCGAGCCTGCCAATTGACTCGTGGACTGACCAGAACCTACTAATCCGGAAGTACCCGAGGACCCAAGGGGCATCCCCAACTGAGTCCCAGACGAGGACGCAGCAGAGGTTGCGCCGTTAGCCATTGTTGCTGCTCTGGCTGCTGCTGCCTGTTCTCTAGCTGCTGCGTTTGCTGCCTCCCTCGCTGCTGCGAGAGCACGGGCTCTACGTTCGGCACGAAGTCGTCTTTCGTCTCCCAGTTGTAAGGTCTGAAATACGTGCGGGACCCTAAGTGATCTCGAACGTGTCAGTGTCGCATCGTCAACTCCACCATCATCGGTGTCTGATCCGCTCATCAGTTAGGCAAACACTTCATGCACTACAACTCCCTCCTGGACTCCTACCACAGCATGTGTCTGACCGACACCTAATTTTCTAAAAATAAATGTGTCCAACAAGTCCCCTACTTGACCGATCAAGTGGCAGCTTACAACATTCACAAAAGACTGTCAACGTAGTTCAGTTCTATCATTATTAGTTCACTTACAGAAGCTTTGCACAGAACTGGCTATGGTAGTATACAACAGTCCTATACTAAACTGATGAGGTGTTAGCAGTCTGTCAACCAACTAATCAACAATAAAATCAAACTATGTTGCAGATGTATGAACAGTGGATATAGTTGTGTTTACTGTTGAGCACCAATTAGAACCTACCCTCCCCTCAATCCAACATACCAAAGAGCATCTTTGAGCAGCAGTGTCTTCGTGTGTAATGTCGGTCCACCCCTGTGCCCCAAGTCGTTGCCGAGCAAGCCAGCCCATCCACTCTTATTTACCCTTGTACGGAACGAGCCTTACTACCCGGATTGATCTGGCTGATCAGGAGGGATTTAAGGAGAGCCCCCATCTCCTCAGGAATTATTTAACGTCGCAGACAGGACGACGATCACAGCCAGTATCAACCGAGTCCCCAACCAGAAGTATTTATAGACGGTCAGGTAAGCGTCTCTTATGGGCTGGCACACCCGGCACAACTTCTATAGCGCAGCAAAGTGCCAAAATGGACAAGCAGCCATCGCATGCGTGACCTACTCCCATTGGGTTGGCATGGTGACCGTGACCCAGTGCTTCGACCAAGGCCCTTCAGAGGCACCGCCCCTTTCTCCTTCCAGATGCTTCCGGGAAGATTGTCGTCTCTCAAGATAGCGCGCACACGACACCTCACCAAAAGAGAGGACTCTCAAGTTGGACTCACTTCCTCGCGGTAAGAAGAGATTGAGAGAGTAGATAAGGTAAGGGAACAACGTACCTGGAGATAGCTGCCCCCAACCACAGATTTCTCGCCAATTGAGCAGAGTGTGCATTTGATGACCGGTCGTAGCCTCGGTACCACCCACAACGCTGAAACGGTATTCACCAGTTCGCAGTAGCGAATGCAGATCCCAGGGCTCGATCCCTAGTTCCCCATTTTACCTGTGTACACTATTGATGTCCACCCGTAGATTTGAGCCTGCGACCTGTCGAAACGCCAGTGGTAGGTAGATTGTCGTAGGTCACAGCTTAGAAGGGAATCGAACTGTAGACTTGTAGGGTAGGAGTCTAGACAGTTCCGAAGTCGTAGCTGTAGGTTGTCTGAAGGGTCAAGGTCATAGCTGCCACTTACCTGAAGGGGCAAAGTCG